GCCTTGCAAACACTTAATACATGTATTTTGAATAAATGGATACTGTTCGGGGGATAAATAAGTCAGATGTCAGCAGGAGCCTTCCTGCATTTCTTAGAGAGCAAAGTAAACTTGGGTTCCATCTTCCTAGTTCCACGATCTGTGAGAATGTAATAAACTCCCCGTGATTTCTGGCAGTCCCTGAAGACCTACATCTCCATTGACTCTCCGCCTTCAGCTCTTGGGTCTGTACAAGCAGTTTTTGTGTGTGTGTTTTATCAACTCAAGTAGAAAATGTGGTCTCCTGACTGGTTTCCATGAAAAATTCACACACAGCACTCACTGGACTTTGTAAGATTTTCATCCATCATTTCTCCCCTCTTTTCCTCTCTCTCTCCTCTCTTTTTCTTCTCTGATTTTCATCTCTCTTCCTCCCTGATTTGCCCAAAGAGTTCCATTTTTTCTCTCTTTTATTACGCAAAGCAAACAAATTCACCCCAGTCCTTAGGTCCAAACCTGCATACACAAACTCAATGTTTTTGCTCAGGGGAGGAAAAGCGCTTTCTCCGTATCACAGTCCATCCTGCTTAGATCAGACTTGGAGGTTTAAGAACCACTTATTTTGTTCTGTTACACATGTCGTCAGTCAAAGCCACTGTACTCTTGTACATACACACTATCGTCTTTACTTCTTCAGAAAAGACCACCTTGAAAAATACAGGTGTAGCTTTCATTTTGTTTATTCCCCACTAGAAATCTCAAGAACTGAAAGAGTCGTCTCGTGTGACCAGCACCGGCCATCCCTACCGTCTCCACAGGGTTTCCCGGGCAGCCCCGGGGGCACTGGCACCGCCCAGTCAGAGGGTCCCAGGCGCCTCCGTTCTGACGGCCACAGGTGTCGTCGCACTCTTTCCCCCTGGTCTCGGGGGAACAAGCTATGAAGAAAGTGGAGAGGGTGAACAGGCAGCGTAGCACACTCACTGTGGTACAAAGGGAGATGGCAGGGAGCCTGCCTTTCTATCAGAATGGGTTCTGAGTAATTAAAATCTTTGTAACTTGTAGACCCGGGAAGGGTCTCTGGCATGTTCCTAGTGTTTGAATGGCATCATCATTCCTGAGGTAATTTCGAATACAGCTAGTTAAGAGTCATGCAGACTAAAGGACTGCTAACAAGGTTCACATGCAACATTTACCTGTTCCTTAAACTCTAACGCACAGTTTCAGAACTACCTAGACATCTTTGCTGTTTAGCTGTCACTAATCTTAATGAGAAACAAACTGCATCCCCTATTTTGAAAAAATGGGAAGAATATGCAGAAAAACAATGTCATGTGTTTTTAACGAGGAATGAGTGTAGCTAAGCCCGTCTTGGGGGCCTCAAGGTATTCTGCACTGTCAAAGAGTGATGAAGTCAAGGAAACAACTGTTTCGTTTTGTTTTCCAGTTTGTTGGTTTGGGGAAAGTATTTAGGAATCCATTAAAAATAAATAAATTGGGGGATATGTCTATGACTTTAGCTTAACTTCAGTAAATACAGCTGTTGAGGTAACTTCAGTAACCATCTTAATGGCCATTTTATCATAATTGGCTAAATATCATAAAACTATACTTACATCAACCCCTCTATCTACCCACCCACATCACTCCAGATGCTAACATGGAAACTTGGCTTCTTATCCACTTTTTTCTTTGCTTTCAAGCCTGAGGTTACAATGAAAAGGAAAGAGGAAAACAAAAGGAATGAGAGAAGGAAACTGGCAGCAAACAGCAGTTGAGGTCTACACTGTCAATTTACACGTAGCAAGTCTTTGAATTCTTACAGCAGCTATAGGTGGAGTAATTTTTTTAAAAAGTAGACCTGGAAAACAAAGCTAAGGAAGTTTAAATAGCTTGCACGGTATCTGGATTACAGCAAGGCGTCAACATCGGCAAACCAACACTATTGTCTGGCACTCCCCCACAAAAAGAACATGGTATCACGGAGTAGAGGGATTTGTTAAATACTTCATTAGCACCAAACAGAGCAATTATCCTGGAGAAGAAAATTTTAAAACAAACATGGCCGTAGATGGGTGATTTGGAAGAAGCCATGAATCCTCCCGTGTAATACTAGCCCACTGATTCACCATAGGAAAATATTTCAATCTCCTTTTCCGACTGGGTGGAGTCTCACAATAACTAATAAGATCGTCAACATAAAATCTTCTCAAAAGAAACAGAGCTCTGAAATGTGCTATTAAAATTAATATGTGGTAATTTTTAAATTGCTTTAAAGAAATTCCTAAAACATCAATATAGTTGCTTTGATTATAGACCAGTAAAGACATCTGGCTAGAAGAGCCACTCCATAGGAAAACTAATTGTCAGACCCCTGCAGAATATTTTTTTTTGATGTTCCTTGCTGCATTTGAAGAGCTGATACTCTTAGAAATACTAATGATGAATGATTTGTCACTTCCATTTATTACAGTTTATAGGAATTTTTTTTAACAAAGTGTTCTCACTCTCCTTTTTCATTAAAGGATTTATGAGCACTTTTTTTTTTCCAGTTTGGATTGTTTTGTTTTCATTTTTGTAAAAAACAAGAATGAACGACAGAGAGGAAATGCAGACAAGATGTAAGTTTCTGTTCTCTGAGACAGCCTCCTCGGACCATGTGAACACTTAAAAGAACCTCAGGGGATTCCAAAGCCAAAGATGGGGTCATATTCTTTTCATTTTATCATGAAATTCCATTTTCAATATTTCTATATTAGTTTGGTGTCACAGATGTTTTATCCAAATGCATTTGCAATAGATTATTAGTTTCTTTCTTCATGCTGACATGTTAGGTATCAAAAGTTTAGATGATGTATATTTATGAACAAAATTTACAATACAGGGTAAACATTTACTTCCTAATAGTCATGCAATAACATTAATTTGATTCTAGTTTTATACAGTTGACTATGTCAAGCTGATAAGCTCCCAGTCTAGAAAGGAAATGGAATAAGAACATAGCTAATTCTAACCCAAAGGGGAGAGAGAGAGAGAGAGAGAGACTTTAAATCCATCAAAAGTATAAATAGTTGTGGTTAGTCTGGGGCCATCAAATAAAGCTTCATGCAATAAATGGCAATGAACAAAGGTGGCAGGTTAGCAAAAGGCACAAAGCTGTAAAGTTCAAAGCATTAAGTAGTTAGTGGTTTAGTTTGCTGAAGATGATAAGCTGGTCAAAGAGTTGTGGATAAAAAGAAAAAAGGATTTATGAGCGCCTGATACGAGATGGTTGCCAATGACTGAATCAGAAGTGTGAGTTTTATGCACCAGGAAATGGGACACTCCTGAAATGAGCAGCAGAGAAACATGATCAGAGCAACGCTTGAGGAAGATCCTCAACACTCTAACTAGTAATTCTGGGGCAACCACTTCACTATGTTATAACTCAAGTTTTGCATCTATCTCACGATAGAAACGACATTTGTCCTCTTTCTTCCCATATGCAGGGGGTTCAAAAGCAAATCTGCTCACATCATCTTCTGAGCCACCCACAAAGACTTAACTCTTTTATTAAAAAATTTATAAGGGAAACTTAAAAAGAGAAAGAAGAAATAAAGACAGGCAATACATTTTGTTTTTATTACTTGGCAGTTTTAGTGCCTGCAAGTATGCCTCCATTTAAAATATAAAGGAAAAAATTTATTAGAGGTATTATTTTCCAGTCGTTGACATTTTCTCATGAGAGATTTATATAAAAAGGTTAAAAGTGTCATTGACTGTACTTACATATTGTTTAAAAGAAAAAGAAAAGAAAACAAACAAAAAGCGGCAGCGAACAGTCAAGCGGTTCCATTCATTGTGCTTCGTAACACAAATCCTTTCATCTTTGTCTTCATTGGGAATAGCTTGCCAGGGCCTAATGATTTATTTAAATGGAGGGATTTTTATAGGCCTAGAATATTAGGATCCTTTATTAACTTTTACGTTCCATGGATAAACAAGAGTCAGCACACCAAGTTTCCCAGGGAACACAAAATCTCCCCTTTTAATCACATGTTCCATTTGAAAGCTCAGGGCTTCATAGACAATCTTTTTCCACAAGAAATAAATTGGTTTTCACCCATATCAATCGTTAACCCTGTTGAAACATTTTAGGGAGGACACATGTAAAGAAGAACTCATCACCAGTAGTTGGTTGGCAGCAAAGGAGAACGCATCTTACCGGATCTCCGATGTATCACTTACTTTCGCTACAAAGAACTCCTCCCCAGCCAGCAGGGCAGGAGCACCTACTCCTTCCTTCCTGACACCTGCCTCCATTCATGCAGTTGGCACAGCGCAGACTGCAATCGCGGCCGAAGGTGTGACCTAAACAGACTGGAATGCGATACCATCTTAGTTGACCCATGCTGTTTATATCACTGAGAGGGAAGACGAAACCCGCCACCTCTGAGAAAACAAACACACGTGATCCTTGGTCCTATCTCCTAAAGAGTCCCAGGAAAAGACAAGAGCAGAGAGAAACCTTTTAAAATAGAGCTTGGAATGTAGCCCCTGAACAGTATTTAGAATATTTAAGAATGCAAAAAAAAAAGGGAAAGAAATCACCAGTGATTTCTGAACACAAAAATAATCAATGTTCCTGGCACCTTAGTGTTTTTTGTTCCAGGCGT